TTCTCTTCTTCTCTAAGTATTTCTTCTTTATCTATTCTTTTCAGTTTCTTTTATTAATTTCTAGTGTTTTCCTTCTTTCATTATTTTAATATTTTCTATACTTTTATCTATTTATTCTTGTAACTGTTTCTTGTTCTTCTAATTCTTTTATCATTTGTTTATTATTCTTTATTTCCATTATTTTCTTTTGTTTTTATATTTCGGTACTTTTCTACCTTCTTCTTTTATTTTTTCTTTCTTTTCTATTTCTCTTTCTTATTTTTATTTTCTTGTTTTCTTCTTCAAATGTTCATATTCGTGATTATATTTTCTTCATTTCTTCTTCTTTCTTTTTCTTTCTCTAGATTTCATTTCAGTGTCCTTATATTTTCTTCTTTTTTATATATTTCCAATGTATACTTCTTAATCTTTTCTTTTTCTTTCTTCTTTATTTCTTTCTTTCATCTTTTCTTTTATCTTATCATCTTCTCTTTTCTTAATTTTTCTTTCTCTTTTATTTTATCTTCCTCTTTTCTTTTTGTCGTTCTTTCTTAATATTTTCTTTTATTTCTTCTTCATTTCTTTCTTTAACTTCTTCTTATATTATTTCTTCTTTGTTTTCTTCATTTTCTATTAGTATTTCTTTCTCTTCATCTTCATTTCCTATTTTCTTTTTTATTCTGTTACTTATTTTTCAATATCTTCAATCCTTTTCTCTATTCTTTTATTATTATTTTGTCTTCTCATTCTTTTGTTCTCAAATCCTTTTTCTTTCTTATAGTATCTTTGACATCTATATTTTCTGTTTTGATTATTCCTAATATTGAAATGATATTGTTTATATCTTCTATTATGATAATGGTAGTTTTGAGATAATATTTATTGTTCCTATCATTGTACCATTGCTTATTTTCAAAGTAGTCATATCTTTGAACTATCTGATTTGTATTAAATCTTCTTTGTTTATTTCTTCTTTTATTATTTGTTATATCTTCTAAAATATTGATTATTCTTCTTAAATCTCTTTGTTTCATGTAATAATTATTTTTATTTAAAAATTGTTACATTTCTATAGAGTTAATTCAAATTGTAATTGAGATAGAATAAACAAATAAGAAATGAAAATAAGAAATAAACACAAACAAAATCATTGAAAATAATTTTGATATAAAATAAAAATACAGAAATCAAACAACAAAAATACTTATTGTTCTATTTAACCACTATTATCATTTATTAAATAACTTATATTTAAGAAACTTAGTTCAATAGAATTTTATATTTAAATTGTTAAAATTCAAATAAAATATTGAAAAGATACAAATAAACAATAAATTATCAATGAAAAAGAAAGAATAAAAGAAGAAATATATAGAATACAATAAATAAATATGAAATAATGATAAATAAAAATAGAACATTACATTAATATTAAAAATGGTATTAATTAGTGAAATAAATCAAAAGATATAAGAAATCAAGATAAAAAATATAGAAATAAGAAGAAAAATTAAAAATAAGTTTAAAATAGAATGATAAAAGAAAAAAAGATAAAAAATAAAAAGAATAAAGAGAATTAAATAAAGAAAAGAAATAAGAAAATTAAAGAATTAAAATAATATTATTCTAAATGATGATTATATATTAATTATATACAAATAATATATTCTATATCATCTTTTTTATCAATATTTATATATTTATAAAAAGAATAATACATTATTTAATTAATTCATTTATATTATATATTTTATAGTTAGTTCAATTTTATTTAATTTAATTAATAATTTTATTGTCTCACAATTAATTAATAAATGATTATTTTAATTTATAAAATTGATAATTTATAAATAATTTTTTGTTATCAATTAATATAACTTTAATTAAATATAAATAATAATTGTTTTATTATATAATTTGAAATAATAAAATAAATTATTATAAAATAATTGTTAATATAATATTTAATCATTATTTATTATTTATTTTATTTATCATTAATTTATATCTATTATTTCATTCTTATTATTATTATTACTTATTTAAATTTAATCATAATTATTTATATGAACTCTATATTCATCGATAGTAATTACCATTCAACTATTCTTAAATTATTATCATATAAAATTATTTATTATTTTTATTACTAATTCATATTATATTTCTTATTTATTTATATTTAATTCATTATTTTCTAATATTTTATTATTTATTCATTTCTTTTTCTTTCTTTTATATCATTTTATTCATTAATTATTAATACATCACTAAAAATATTTCTTTTGATTATTCTTTATTCAATTTTATTTATGTTCTATTCTTTTTATATTAATTACTTTATACTTTTCTCATAATCTTTATTATTTTATATTCTTCATTTCTTATTCTAATAATTATTGTTATTCTTCTTTATTATTTCATTTATATTATTATCTATGAATCTTTATTGTTTATTCTCTTTATTATACTTTTAATTTCAAATACATGTATTATTCACATATTAATTACTTCTAAAAATATTTCTTTCTCATTTTATTAAATTCATTATAACTTTTTTTTCTAATAATTATAATGTTAATTCATTCTTTTTACATATTTAAATTCTCCTTAAAACACTTTCATTCCAACATTTGTTTTATATAAAAGAAAATATTATAATCATTAATGAAAAAACATTACTTATTCATTCTCTATTTATGAAAATACAATAATTAATCAAATGAATAAAAGAGATTTGATATAATTATGTATGAATAAAATAAATAAATGAAAACTAAATTGAAAAATACATTTAAAGTTAATTATTAATGAATTTTTTATTTTAAAAAGTATTTAATTTTAATACTTTGATAAATAGAAAATATAATTTAATATTGAACCATTTCATTTATTCAATTTCGATTCTTTATATTTGATACTAATCTTTTCTTTATTACTTCTTTCTGTTTTATTCATTTTCTTTGATAATGTCTTGTTAAAATTATATCATTATCTTCAAATCACTTCAATAATTTAGAATTAATTTTCTATTAATTTTAATTTGTTCATAAATAAACAAGAAATAAATAATAATGTTTTCTCATTCTCATCTTATTTTATAAAAATGATTAGTAAATCATATCAATTAAAGACATAATTCATATTATATCATTTAGATAAATATCATGTTGTTAATTTTATCTCTTTTAAATTCTAGATTTTGTTGATATTTTATTGTTATTTAGTACTTCTTTATTCTTATACAAAATCTGATGCATTATAAAGTATCTTACAAAAATGTTGTGTATTTAATTTAAAAAATGATATGGAAAGAACAAA